GCTTGGGCCCCGCGGCTGCGCGGGCCGGCGCCGGGCCCGGGGCCGGCGAGCGGGGGTGGCAAATTTTTGGTACAGCGTGTCGCTCCGCAGACCCCCTCGGGTAATGGAGGGGGGGGGAATGGGGAATGGGGGGGGGAATGGGAATGGGATCAACAATGACGTAGTCATATTAAAAACATAACCCCACACTGCCAGGGCATATGCAGTGTGTTGGGAGAGACCTAGTGCACCTCGGCCGCTCCAAACCTCAAACGGCCTAGGAGGGGAGGGGACGACTCAGAGGTGCATACAGGACACCCCTCGCCACGAGGCGGGGCACCTGGTGCGAGTCTCGGGGCGGGTGCCCTGGCCTGCTCCCCCCAGTCCCCTTGCCCAAGGGGGACAGAGCAGGACTCCCCATGAGCATGGCCGAAGCCAGACCCCCCCTCCACACCCTGGCGCGACCGGGGAGTCGCCGGGCCAAGACAGTGGAGGGGACCCGAACCGGCCGTAGCCGAAACGGGATTACCGTTTAGGCCCGAAGACCGGGGTCGGTGCCCCCACTGCCGAAACCACCCACCCACCCACGGCAGTGGCGCAGCCCCCATATAGGCCACGACTAAGCAGGTTTCAGTTCCCCCGGACGCCGGGAGGTGCCGCCCACACCAACCGGCTGCCCGCCCGGGGGCAATGGAGGGGGGGGGCGGAGAAGAAGGAGGAGGAGGAGGAGGATGAGGAGAAGGAGGAGGAGGAGGAGGAGGAGGAGGAGGAGGTGGAGGAGGAGAAGGAGGAGGAGGAGGAGGAGGAGGAGGGGGAGGAGGAGAATGAGGAGGAGGAGGAGGAGGAGTGATAAGAATATTATTCATATCAAGAAGGCGACTAATAAGACTCCTGATCATAATACCACGTACAAATAACAACACTCTTTTTAATATTAAGAATATTATTATGAATTGTACAACTATGAATATATGTATGTATATATATATATATTCTCATACGCACCTCTCCGAGGGAGTAGAGCTCAGAGGCGATTAATGCGTCCGTCGTTCGCGATTTTTCTGGCCGTTTCGCTCGGGACATCCTCGAAATTCTGAAAATCGGTGGCACCCCTCACGCAGATCGTGACGTCAGGGTCCAAAAACACATAGGATTTCCAACATTTTATCATAAAACCTTCAAAAACACATGGTAATTTCAATGATTTTGACTCCGATTCTCAGAGAATGGCGGTTTCGCCTGAGACATCCTCCCAAAATCGAGCCCCAGACCCCTCCTCGGAGCCTCCTGGGGGCCTCCTGGAACCTCCTGGGGCCTCCTGGGGCTTTCTGGACCTTCTGGTACCCCAGACCCCGCCTCGGAGCCTCCTGGAGTTCTCCTGGGCCTGCTGAGGCCGCCTGGGGCCTCCTGGGGCCTCCTGGGGCCTCCTGGGGCTTCAGAACTACATGCACACACAGAGACACAAATCACGCCCAACACATCACACGCTAGACAAACATAACATACACACACACAACACCGACAACACGCAAAAAGCACGCACCACACAAAGCACACATCACACACACAACACTCACAATCCTGGGGCCTCCTGGAGCCTCATCTGGTATCCAAGTCGGGCCTCCTGAGGCTTCCTGGGGGGCCCTGGTACACACATCGCAAGGTGAGGCAACCCCACTTGCGCTCGAGTGCGACTTCGCTGTTGCATGTCACTCCTGCTTCAAACGCCCCTTCAGCTTGTTGTATGAGCCTGGGCACACACGTGCCACTTGTATATATATATATATATCACTGATACATATAATATTTATATGACCTAGAAGAATAAGGATAACCATACTAATAATGTTATCAATAACGAGACAAACACTATGAACACTATTATTATTACTACTACTAATACTAGTAATACTTAGAAGACTGAGAACAATAATTCTTCTACTAATGCTAATACTGGTAATACGGAAGGTACGGATAAGCATAATAATTACTGTACTCAATATAAGAAAGTAATATTACTAATCGTAAGACAAATCATGATAGTTCTACGGATAAGAATGCTAATGCTGAGAAGACGAATGTTCATATTATAAGAAGAAGAATGCTGACAGTACTAAGAACAATAATTCTACGAATGATATTAATAATACTAGTAAGAGGAGGAGGAGGAGGAGGAGGAGGAGAGGAGGAGGAGGTGAGGAGGAGGACGAGGAGGAGGAGGAGGAGGAGGAGGACGAGGAGGAGGAGGAGGAGGAGGAGGAGGAGGAGGAGGAGGAGGAGGATGAGGGAGAGGAGAGAGGAGGAGGAGGAGAGAGGAGAGAGAGAGAGAGAGAGAGGAGAGGAGGAGGAGAGGAGCCCGGGACAGAGTCACCCTGGCTGGCCCCAGAACGTGGCCCTGAGGGGAACTCATCATGGACCCGCTGCGGTCTGTGGCGGCTAAGGCTGCTGTTTGGGAGGCGCTGTGGTGCCCGCAGGCTAGTGCCCAGGGACCCCCCAGGGACCCCCACAGGACCAGGACTGGTGGCCCGAGTTTAAAGCCCGTGCCTGTGAAGCCCGTGACGAGCTTCACCCTCTTGAGATGGCAGACCTGTATGCAGCCCTGTCGAGTTTCAGATCTGTGATCGGAATGGGCCTGGACGGCCAAACTCCGAAGCACTGGAGCCAGCTGCCGTTGGCTGGTCGAGAGCAGCTGTTAGGGGTGCTCCAGCAGGTTGAGGACACGATGCTCTAGCCAAGCCAGGTTCGTGAGAATGTAGTGCAGCTGCTCCACAAGTCGCAATTGCAGACCCTCACTCAAGGCCTGTACAGATGTTGGGCGGTGGCGGGGCGGGGGACGGTGGTGACGTGGGTGACTGGGGAGGGTGGGGCTCGGTTCTGGGACAAGGCCGTCAGAGGGAGCTCTGCTCTAAGGGCAGCGATCTTGCGCCAACTCCAGCTCGAGGTCTCAACCATCCAGGGGCTGTCCTGGGCTGAGATTCTTTGAGACCTGGAGCAGTTGTACGATCACCTCCAATGTTTTGAGATTTTTCGGCTTGGGCGAGCCACGGGATACCCGATGTTTCATTTGTTCATGGCCATGCAAATCCACTTCGCCCCAAGGAGGGTGAGAGCGGAGAACTGTTTTAGCGAAGTCATTCACCCCTGGCGGGGAATCCTAGCAGGATGTAATCAGTCGGTGGATGTGGCCAGGGTAGGACTTTTTGGGATTTTGCAAGACCTGCACGACTCATTCCGACCTCTCCAACTCGATTCGTGGGTGGACGACTGTTCGCAGCGGGTTGTGGGGCACTCCAGGGAGGTGGTCGCGAAGAGCGTGCAGGCAGGTAGGAAGTTTTGAGGCTGTGCACGCAGGGGGGCCTTGAGGTTTCTAGTGCAAGCACCCTTGTAACTTGCCCAGTGCATCTGGCCTCCGAAATTCAGTCGGCGCTGGCGGCCCACGGTTTGCACGTCAGTATCTCCCAGGCGGCCAAGGATCTTGGGGTGGATGCCACGGCCTCTAGGAGAAGTGTGGCCACTCCGAAGAAACGCTTGGCCTCGGCCGCGGGTCGCGCCAAGAAGATCGCGCAAGTCGTGAAGATCACCCCGAAGGTTCGCGCCTTGGGGAGGTCCGGATTTTTGCCGCAAGCGACGTGGGGGCTGGAAGGTACAGGGGTGGCCCCTCCGACGTTGATGGGGCTGCGTGCCCAGGTTGCTGCTTTATTTGGGGCGCGCTACGAGGGTGGATGCGCCACCACCGCAATCAATTTGATGATGGGGTCAGATCAGGACCCGCTGGTGTTCGGCAGGCTACGTATTTTTCGCATGTGGCTTGATCTTTTGCCTGCTGTGCTGCAACAGTCCGAGCGCCCACTAGGGCTTGCTTGGAAAAAAAGGCCTGGTCGCAGCTCCGGATCGCCAAGCGTCGCTGGAGCCTTGTCAGAGGACCCGTCGTCCGCCGTCACTGCTGGCCTTCAGGTCATAGGGTGGACGGCGCCTGAGCCCTGGCCGTGGGTTTCTTCACCAGCGCAGCAGGCTTTCCGATGGGAGAGATTGGTGGCCCTGAGATGCTCATAGATTTCGAGCTGGGGGGATCGCTAGACGCCCAGATCCGGGGCAAGGCGGCCTTGCTTCACCCTGGCAGAGGGCTGGAGTCCAGTGCCGATTTCACGGTCCCGTGTCGCCGCGTGAAACGGCTTGAGAGGCGGAACCCATGGGATCGAGCAGCAGTGTTGCGAACGGTTTTGGCTGGCAGTCTGTGGCCAGCGGCCAGGAGGTTTGGAGAGGAATCGACTCGACCTGCCTCGCCGCCTGCCGTTCCTCCCGCGCCCGCCTCGTCTCCCCAACCGCTGCCTGTCGGCGCCGCAGGGAGGCCGCCGTTTGTCTCAGGCACGTTCGATGAGGACTTTGACTTGGCAGAGATGCATGACATGGAGGCCAGGCAGGATGGCCCGACCCCTGCCGTTGGGGGAGTTGGGCCACCCCTGCCTGCCCGCGCTGTGGGGCCCCGTTTGAGACGACCTTCTACCATCTTTGGGAATGTCCCTGCAACGTCGGTCTCGAAGGCACGCATCCAGAGCTGCTCCAGGAGGCGACTGAGGGATGGCGAGTTTTCTGTTTGTTTTTGGTCGAGGGGGCTTCCACCGTTGAGGCGGACGAGCGGACCAACCTTGATCGATGTCCCCGTTGATCCTGTTGCCCCCCCAAGCCTCGAGGCTGGGCCAATAGACCTGGAGGATGGGAGCGTTGCTGTGGGTGCTCGCCGGGGCCCAGGCTGAGGCGCTGTGTTGATGGGGATTTTCGGTCGTCAGGGATTTCAGACTGCTGGGGTGGGGCCGCGGGCCCCTGCCAGGATATGAGCAGGCAGTGCCCCGGGCTGAATTAGAAGGAGTCATCCAAGCGTTGAAGCGCACCAGAGGTGCTCTCACGTTTGGGGTGGATCCGTCCATGATTATACGGACCTTCCATCGAGGCCGTCCGTACGTTTCCCCTGTTAATGTCGGCCCCTGGCGCAGGTTTTGGGCGGAGGCGGGTGATCGGCAAATCAGCGTGGCGAAGGTCAAGAGCCCCGCCCGCCGCGCCCCTGAACGGGAAGATGGCCACCCAGTTTTGTTTTGGCTCGCCAATGGGGCTGCTGATGCGGCCGCGGAGGTAGGGGCCGGGAGGGGCCAACTCCCAGGCCATGTAGTCGCCCAGGTGTGCCGAGTCGACGAGCTCACGTACAAGGTGCAAGAGCGCCTTGTCGCAGTGGCTCTTCACGTTGCGTCGCGAGCGCCCGAGCTTCTCGGGCCAAGCTCCAAGGCTGCGGGGGCGGCCGAAAGTAAGGTCAGGGGCAAGGAGCGGGCGCTCAAGGTTGTTGCGGCGGCGGCCGTGTCGGCTCGTCGGGTCGTCGCGGACTCGACGGGTGTCAGATGCGCCTTGTGCCGCACACGACCGGCGGCCGATTTGAAGAAGCTGGACTGGCTTGCATCCCCCTGCGCCCAGGTTCCGCATGGCATAGACCCCTCGCACAGGCTCGAGTTCTGCAACGGGTTGTTCTGGTGCCACCCCTGCGGGGCCACGGGTACGCGGGGGAAATTCGTCAAACTGGGGGGAGTGTGCCAACCCGATCGCGTGGGCGAGTGGGGCAGGCGCATGCTTAAGGCCCCAACAGAAGGGAAGCTTCCCTCAGGGTGCAGGGTCTGCCCGACCCAGACATGTAAGTTTTGGTTTCAACGCGCCCGCTCTTGGGGACACGCGCTGCAGGTCTGGACTTAGAGGAGGAGGAGGAGGAGGAGGAGGAGGAGGAGGAGGAGGAGGAGGAGGAGGAGGAGGAGGGGGAGGAGGAGGGGGAGGAGGAGGGAGGAGGAGGAGGAGGTGGAGGAGGAGGAGGAGGAGGAGGAGGAGGAGGAGGAAGAACGAGAAACATAATAAACATAACAAACATAATAATAACACTAATAATAATATTAGTAATAATAATAATAGTACTACTACTACTACTAATAATAATGATAATAGTAATAATAATAGTAATACTAAGAATACTAAGAATAAGAAAATAACACACATTATAAGAATAATAATAAGAATAATAATAATGATAATAATAGTAGTAGTAATCATAAAATAATAATCATAACCTTTTTATGATTAATAATAATAAAAGAACAAAAGAGTACTAATAATAAGAATACTAAGAATCATAATAATATAATATAACATAATATAATAATAATTCTAATAATAATACTAATACTACTACTACTACTAATAATAATAAGAATACTAAATAATAATACTATTAATAATAATAGTAATAATGCTAATAATAATAATACTACTAATAATAATAATAATAATAATAATAATAATAATAATAATAATAATAATATTAATAATAACAATAGTAATAACAATAATAATACTAATAAAATAGTAATAAGAATAACAATAATAATAAGAGGATGATGATGATGATGAGGAGGAGGAGGAGCAGGAGGAGGAGGAGGAGGAAGAGGAGGAGGAGGAGGAGGAGGAGGAGGAGGAGATCTGTGTAGTTTCGGCCTCTGGAGGCCTTTACCGGTCCTCGGGACCGTCAACAAAAAACGGCTCAGAATGAAAGGCCGGTCTAGGGGAATGGGTCGGCCGTCGTCTGAGGTCGACGATCTGAAAGGGTCTGGGGTTCTGGCCCACCACGCTGCTGCGCGACACGCTACCCACGTCTCAGCACCCGAGCGTCAACGTCTGGAGCCTTTGCCAGCCTCTGGCCCCGCGGAGCGGCACGCCAGTCGCTCGCAGGGCACAGCGTGTCGCCGGGGCCGCCGCGGTGACACGCTATGTAAAAGGTCCTGACCGTATCGATGCCGCGGCTCCTCGATATTTGTGCGTTGCAGTTTCGTTTCGCACTGGGCATTTTCGTCTAGTTTCGGGCCCCAGGAGCATCCTAGATTGATCCGGTTCGACAATGCGGCAAACATATGGGGTTTAGCGAGATGCCGACACGATACAGCTACCCGTAGATATGCCCTAGATAAGCTCGCGCCGTGAACAGAAACGCGACGGAAGGTTTTTGGCAGGCTTCGGCCTCCAAGGGCTCTCGCCGGGCCCCGTGACCGTCAACAAAAAATTGCCCCAGATGGAGAACTGGCCCTGGGGAAAGGGTCGGGACTTCCAGGGAGGAGGAAGAGGAGGAGGAGGAGGAGGAGGAGGAGGAGGAGGGAGGAGGAGGAGGAGGAGGAGGAGGAGGAGGAGGAGGAAGAGGAGGAGGAGGAGGAGGAGAGGGAGGAGGAGGAGGAGGAGGAGGAGGGAGGAGGAGGAGGAGGAGGAGGAGGAGGAGAGGAGGAGGAGGGGGAGGAGGTGGAGGAGTAGGAGGAGGAAGAGGAGGAGGAGGAGGAGGAGGAGGAGGAGGAGGAGGAGGAGGAGGAGGAGGAGGAGGAGGAGGAGGAGGAGGAGGATGGAGGAGGACCCCGAATTGGAAGAAACCAAGCTACGTGTGGAGTGTCCGGGGCCGCTGCTGGTGCTCGAGAGCCCTCGTCGTCACCAGCGGGGAGTCGAAGGCGACCTGGGAGAGGTCCCAGGGATCCTCTTCCTCCTCCTCCTCCTTCTCTTCCTCCCCCTCCTCCTTCTCTTCCTCCCCCTCCTCCTCCTCATCCTCTTCCTCCTCCTCTTTCTTCTTCTTTCTCTTCTTCTTCTTCTTCTTCTTCTTTTTCTTTTTCTTATTCTTATTCGTATCATTATCCTTGTTATTATTCCTCCTACTCCTACTCCTCCTTGTGCTATGATGTTCCGACCTACTTTAGCCTTGATCACCAGGAAGGTTTTCGAGCACCAGGGAAGTACCGAAACCTGAGGGCTTTTACGTGTCGGGCCCTGGGAGGCGATACTCGTTCGACCATGTTTCGATACTTGTCTGAGTGCTCGAAATTCTGTCTGGGATGTGGTTCTTAAGTACGATGGGAGCAATATAAACCTTGTGTGCCCCCCCAGGCGAGAGCAGCAGCGAGGGCTCCGAGGACTCGGAGGAGGGCGATGGGGCAGAGGGCGCCGCCGAGGAGGTCGGCGGGCGATTTTTTTGGAAAGAGATAGGTGGGCCAGCGTGGACCCCAGACGGTGGTTTCTTACAGTCTATGCGGTGCAATCTGGGTGGTGCAGTCCACCCAGACCCCCTCGGGCAATGAAACAGTCATGACGGGAGGTTCTTTCTCCCTGTCGGCCTCTGGATGCCCTGACCGCCCCTCGTGACCGTCAGAGAGCGACTCGGGATGGAAAACTGGTCCAGTGGAGTGGGTCGAGACCTCTCAGGGTCGACGTCGTGAAAAACTATGACGTCGGGGGTCTGGGCATGTGGTGCGATTTGGGTGGTGTGTTGCGCAGCAGTGCAGATCAACGTGGAGCGACGCAGGGCGGCGCGAGTCGGTGCGAAGCAGCGCAAGTCGATGCGATGCGATTGCAAAGCAGTTCAACACATCGCAAAGCGATGCCTAGCAATGCAACGCAATGCACAGCAATTGAAAGCAGCGGAGCGCAATGCAACGCAACGCAACGCAACGAGAGCAATTGAAAGCAACGCAAAGCAACTCAAACCATCGCAACGCAAAGCAGCACAATGCAAATCAATGTAAAGCAATGCAGCGCAACGCAACTAAAGCAATGCACATCAATGTCATGCAATGCAGAGTAACGCAAAGCACTACACAGCAACGCAGGCCCAGACGGCGACGGGGCGGCGACGGCGACCACATAGCCGCCAGACCGACGGGCAAACCCAGAGCGACGGGGCGGCGACGGCGACCACATAGCCGCCAGACCGACGGTCAGGCCCAAAAGACTGGCGGCGACGAGGCGGCGACGGTACGGCGACGGCGACCACACATAGCCGCCATACCGACGGGCAGGCCCAGTTTCTCCTCAGAGCAGAAGCAAGAACCCCTAAGTGCAAACACTGGCTGGCGAATTCAACTTTGTTCAGGAGCGGGGGGGATGCTGACGACCCTGATTCCCACGCGATGCAAAAACGCCACGACAGGAGATTGTTTTTTTTGGGGGGCACTGCTCGGCCTGGGGGCCCTCGCCAGGCTCCCAAACGGCTCGGAGTGGAGACCAGCCCCCAGGAAGCGGTCCAGAGCTCCGGGGATCCCGTACACCCTGAGATCCGACACAGCGAGCAAAATGTGCAACAGCATCGTGGGAAATCATGGGGCCGAAGCCCCTGAGCCCATCGTTCTGCGCCATGTTTCGAGCCGCGTCGATCTGTGCGGGGCCCGGGCCCCGAAGAGCCGGGCGAACACGCCCGGCTCGAGATGGCGACGCCGGGATCTCGGGGCATTGGGATCTCGGGGCATTGGAAGCAAGACGTCGGTGGCTTCCCAGACCCCTGGCGTCGTGACCTCTTCGCAGCGTCGGCCCTCAAGAGGGGTCTGGGCCCCTTCCCCCTCCCGAGTCGTTCCTTGACGGCCCCGAGGCCCGGGCAGGGCCCCCGGAGGCCAGACACCGCGAGAAGCCTCCCGTCGTTTTTTTTTTTTTTTTTGTTTCTCTGCTCTCGCAGCGCGAGGGGCTTTGGGCACGGGTGCCGCGCCCTGGCCCGGGCCGTGTGCCAGGCCCGGCCGGGGTCGGCGGTGCGCCAGTGCAGTGCCTGCGGGGCCCGGGCACATGCGGCACCACCGCCTCCCCAGACATGCCCGCGCTGTCAACAAAATCAGCACGGGAGGTCTTTCCCTATTGTCGGCCTCTGGGGGGCCTCGCTGGGCCCCGGAAGCGTCAAAAAACGACTCAGGATGCAAAGCCGGCCCCAGGGAAGGGGTCTGGACTTCCGGGGACGCCCTGAAAAACTCGGGACGGCGCATGTCTGGGTCCCTCACCCCCTCCCGCTCCCAGGCAAGAGGCAAGGAGCAGGAGGGTAGAGGAGGGAGGAGGAGTCGGCGTGGTGGTGGCGTGTATTCTTGGCGCCCGCAGAGTTGGCGTGCTCCCCGCAGGGCGCCGCCGGGGCGGATCGCGGGCGGCCGCCGCAGGCGAGGGGCCGAGGAAAGAAAGGGGGGGCCAAACCTCGGCGCCGAACTGGATCCACGTGCGAGGGGCCCCAGGGCCCGAAGCCCGGGCGACGGCGCCCAGCCTCTGGGAAGTGTCAGCGTCTGTCTGCGGCGTGCGTCGAACTGGATCCACCTGCGAGGGGTCCCAGGACCCGAAGCCCGGCGAAGACGCCAAGCGTCTGGCAGGTTGCAGCGCCTGGAGCTCAGGCCCTGAGATCCGATGGACTTTTTGTTTCAATGCGGGGTTCCCCTGACGTCGGCGTCACCCCAGCATACTAATAGTTCCCGTGTGTGCGTCGCGCCCCCCCCCCCAGGGGCGACGCGCGCACCAAGAACTCTTGTAGTGCATCTGCGTCGTGGCGGGCGCCTTCTGGCCACACCGCTCGGGAAGCGATGTGCTACAAGGTGGGGATACTAAATGTTCGGGTCGGACGCGCCTCTCCAAGGAGAACACATAGGGCGTTCCAGACAGGGCCTTGCCTTCGAGGATCGAAGGAGTTGTCATCTTTTCCGCTGCGGAAGGCGGCAGAAGGGCGGCGGCATGGCGGCGGAAGGTCGGCGGAAGCAAAACGAGGCCGCCTCCGCCGGCGGTAGGCAGCTCGGCGGAAGGCGGCGGAAGTAAAAGATGTGTCCCCAAGAGATGAACACGTTTTTGGGTTCAGGGTTTCCGAAATTGACCATGTGTGCGTCGACCCCCCCCCGACGCGCGCGCCAAGAAGTCTTGTAGTATATGCGTCGTGGCGGGCGCTTTCTGGCCACACCGCTCGGGAAGCGATGTGCTACAAGGTGGGGATACTAAATGTTCGGGTCGGACGCGCCTCTCCAAGGATATCATCCAGTACTAGTGCGTCAGTGTGCGTCCCATGAAGTCCCGATCCTGTCCCTGGGGGCTGACTTTGCATCCTGACTCTAGTTTTTTGAGGGCCCTGGAGCCCAAGGCGGGCCCCACCAGAGGCCGAGAACGGCGGAAGAGCCTTTGCATCGAGCAACTCAAAAAAACATCCCAGCGAAGCACTCTGAGGGCAGCGAGGAGGTGAAGATGTGGGTCCGGGAGGTGGAGAGGTGAAGCAGCCAAAGGCACCCCAACTTCTGGCTGAGGTGCTGGCTTTGCAGTGGGCGCTGGGGGTGTTGTTGGCGACGTTCGTGGGTGGAGCGCTATAGTAGTGGTGCAGTGGGCAGGGGTGTGCGCCCAACGCATTGGCCCGACTCGCAAAAAGGAAAGGGAAAGAGGTGAAGAGGCGGCTCGAGGAGCAGGAGGTCGGCCAGTGAAACCGTGAGAGCACGGCCATGTGCACTCCAGTGCTTGTTACACGGGATCGTTGTCGCCTGGACCGAACATGCAGCCGGCACTGCTGCGAGGCGGGACGATCCGCTCCAGCGTTGCAGCGATGCAGGGGCACTGCAGAGCGAGTTGGCCGGCATGCGGGAGGGGGGAAGAGGATCAGAAGCCAGGCGAAGGCTGGCAAATCCGTGGCTGCTAAAGCGGAACTCCGGGAAACTGTTTCGTTCTTCCGGGGGGCAGCCCGTTTATTATCTGGTCCGCTGAGCTTTATTCCGGGAGCGTGTTCTCTTCTTCCGGGAAGACCGTTTCAGCAGCCACGGATTTGCCAGCCCTCGCCCAGCTTCCGAGAGGAAGGGACGGGCGGCCGCGGGGAAGCAGGGAAGGGCGAGCACTCCGAGCCAGGAGACTTCCGCCACGAGCCGCCAGGGCGGCCCGCGGGCGGCCGCCTGGGCCAAAGCACGCAGCCGGCACTGCGGCGAGAGCGCGATTCCAGGACAGACTGCGAGGAGGTCTCGGTCGAAGCGGCCGGACCGCTTCGGACGGGGCGGTCTTGGGCTCCTTGCCCCCCCTTGTGGGTTGTTGTTGTTGAACTCTCATTTCTGAAGAAAAATCAGTGTTGACCCCCCTCACCCGTGCATGCTGTTTTTTCTGAATCAAAGTGTGCCCCTCGACGCTCGCACCCTGTTTTTTGACAGGGGAAGTCTTGGTGCTCAAACTGGGCCCCTGGCCCCCCGGATTACAGCAACAACGGCTCCCGCCTGAGATTTCCTCCAAATTGTTGACGCTTCGCGAATCCCTACCAGCCCATCCAGAAACGATGCCCAGAGGAATTGCCTCGATCAGGGAAGTGGGCAGCACACATAGGAAGCCATTATGAGACATCTTGGGATATCTTGAGCCATCTTGGAGGTCATTGTGGGCTCTCCCAGGCGCTCGTGGAGTCATCTTAATCAGTGCCCCCCCCCCAAGAGGCTAACATGTGGCTAAAACCATAGTGAAATCAATGATTTGGCATTCTCGCCGAGGCCTCTTGGAGCATCTTGGGTGCCTCTGGGGGGTCTCTTCGGACCTCTTGGGGGTCTCTTGGGGGCCTCCTGGGGGCCTCATGGGGGCATCTTGGGGCCATCTTGGGGCCATCTTGGGACCACAAGAGGGGAGCTTCAATTAGGGTCCCCCCCTCAGGAGGCCAAAATGGGGGCAAAACCTTAGTCAAACCAATGATTTTGGCTTCCTCGCCGAGGCCGTTTTGGACGCTCCGACACCTCGCGAAACCCCCTGTCCAGGTCCATGGGGAGGGGGGAGGGGGAGGGGTCAAGACGCCCTCCCCGCCCGAAAGCCGTCTCGCTCACTCCCACCCGTCCCCCCAACACATACGTAGCACCCGAGCCTGGCCCGAGCCGCAGCATATGCAGCAGTCGTCTTGGGATGGGCAGCTACTGGGGGCGAATCCGCCGCCGCCGCCGCCGCCGCCGCAGCCGCCGCCCGCCGCCTCCGCCGCCGCCACCGCGCCGCCGCCGCCGCCGCCGCCCGCCGACCCCGCTGCCGAATTGCCGCCGCCGCAGCCGCCGCTGCCGCTGCCGCCACCGCTGCCGCCGCCGCCGCCGCCACCGCGCCGCCGCGCCGCCGCCGCCGCCGCCGCGCCGCCCCCCCCGCCGCCGCCGCCACCGCCGCCGCCACCGCCGCAGCCGCCGCAGCCGCTGCAGCCGCTGCCCCCCGCCGCAGCCGCCGCAGCCGCCGCCGCCGCCGCCAAGTGTACTCTGTATTGTTTTTTGACAGGGATGGTGGGGGGAGGCCGCATCGGTCTCGCTGCGCATGTTCAGAATTTGGAGGCAGTGTGTGTGTTTGCATTGTTTTTTGCAAGGGATGGTGTGGGGGGGTGCCCTCATGGACTCGGGTTGGCTCCCAGTCGCCCGGGGGAGGGGGTGTACATTAATAGGGAACAGTGATGCAGTGATAAACCCCTCCCCGACGGCGAAAAAGGAGGGGTGGAAGACGAAACTCCTGAAACCACCGACGCCCCGAGGGGTGGTGGGATCTATTCAGGAATTGCGCTCTCGCCTGTGACTTCCATGCAATTTACTCAGAAATCGCGCTTTCGACGCTCAGGAAACACGCTGCGCCAAGGACGCCGTTACAATTTACTTAGTAACCGCGCTCTCGCCATACTCAGGCATCCCGCTAGAATGTCCCACCCGCCCGACTCGCCCGTCAGGGGATCGCCCGCCCATCGTGGGCTCCCGCCCGAGCCTTCCTTAAGGAACGGCGCTTTCGCTTAGAACTTCCTCGAACGTTCACGCTCCTACCTTCCTGCTCCTCCTCCCTCTCCCTCCTCCCTCCTCCCTCCTCTCCCCCTTCTCTCTCCCTCCTCCCTTCCCTCATCCTTATGCCTCTCAGCCCTATCCCCTCTCCCTCTTCTCCCTCCTCCCTTCTCCCTCCCCTCTCCTGCCTCCTCCCTCGTTCTTTCTTTCTTTCTTTCTTCCTCTCTCTCTCTCTCCCCTCTCTCTCTCTCTTTCCCTACCTCTCTTATCTGTCTTTTTTTCTCTCTCTCTCTCTCTCTATTTCTCTCTGCCTCTAGCCAACCGCCCCCCTCTTCGCTCCTTCTCTCCTGGCGTTTTCCCTCCTCCTTCGTCCCTCCCCCTCCCTTCCTCCCACTCTCCCTCGTTCTCCCCCTCCTCTTTTTGCAGGGCCCACACCAATTCCAATGGCGGGCACATGTACGCCCACGAAAGATTGTCCGCCCGTTCACTTCTGCCCGCCTGTCTAAGCCCGCCGCCCCCCGCAAAGAGAAATAATTCCTCCCAAAGGGTGTGATCGAAGACAAAAGGGCGGGTATCGAGGGTGTGGGGAATTCGTTTTGAATGACATGCTGGCAAGTAAGAATGATTGGTGTTGTTGTTGATGGTTGTCTGTTGTATGTAAGTGCTCGCACGTGAATCATCTAGGCAAGCCCGACCGCCGCTAAGCGGTACAACGCTTCCGTAGTCTTCTCTGGGTTCAAGCGGGGCCCCAGGTGGCATGGATTTCGGGCTAAACCTTTTCTACGAGGTTGTTCGATCGTTGGGCACCGCCGCCATAGTCTCGGCGGGCAGCTGCCCAGCGGTACCCGCGTGCCCCGCCTGCCCGCCGTGCCCGGCGGTGCCCGCGTGCCCAGGCGCGCCACCGTTCCCCGAGCCGACGTGCGGGGTGAGCGACCCCGAGGTGCTGGCGGGCAACAGCCGCCTGTGGGCCTGGACGGTGCTGCTGCTCGCGGCCAGCTCGACGTTCGTCGCCCTCGGCTTCGCGCGCAATGGCGGCCGCAGCCCCGGTGGGGCCGCTGCCCCTGCAGGCGGCGCCGGGGCTGGGAGTGGCGGCGCAGGCGGTCCAGGCGGCGGTGGCCTGGGCTTTCGTATGGTACGCGACGCCGGAGGCCCTGTGGCACCAGAGGCTGCTGCTCGGCGTCCTGGCGTCATCGGCGACTAGGTTCCTCATTGTCACGCCAGATGGACAAGTATATGATGAAAAGTATGGACCTGCCAATGCGGACGTGGTGGGGATCCGCTTCGCGACGCAGCGGTGGCCACCTCCGCCCGGCGTGACGAGGGCGATGTGCTACAGGTTCGCCGCCGCTCCGGCGGCGGCTCAGATCGCCCAGTGGACGGGTGAGGCGACCGCCCACGCCATGGCGCTGCAGACTACGGTGGCGCCGCTCCCCGCGCTGGTG